AAAAAAAAAAAAAAAAAAAAAAAAAAACTTCATCATCAACTAAACTTACCAAGCAAAACGTATGTAATAAGAAATTAGCCGATACAGAAGCCAAAAAGACCCAGTCTTCAGATTATATTCCGACTATACCAATGGTCTTCGTCTGTATTTGTGTGGCGCACGTCAAATTGCGCGCGAGTCCGGATGATGATGGCGACTGCAGACAAGAAACAAACAGTGTAGTAAACAAATTACGATGTGGTAATAATTAATAAAGAAAAATTCCAGTTTTGATACTTTTTTTGTTGGCTTTTTTGTAGAGTGATAAATAAATTTATCCTACTCTCTAATGGCTGCAGCTATGGATATATGATGATATTGTGCAGCTGCTGCTTTTTTTCTTCTTCTTTTTTTTTTCATCTTTTTTATATCTAATTTTGCGAGTGGTTGGGTTTTGGATAGGGATGCATGAACCGTTGGATAGGGATAATCTGACGGCTCATGAGTTCGGAGACTGCCACGTAGACGTTTTGTCCGGACATTGGTCAATTGGCGTAATACGCTGGTCCAATTTAGGGCATCTCCAATGGTAATAATTATTACTAGCTATATGGTCAGCTCACGTGGATGTGAGAGATAAGAAAAATAACTATTTTACACTATTGGACCCACCTACTCCTCTCACATAATCTTGGGATACGTGAAATAGATAAGCTATTTGTTAGTAGCTAGTGACTACTCTTTCTCTTACTTTTTCCATGTCCACATCATAATAGTTAGCCAAATAGTCAACCATTAGAGTTAGGGTCATTTGTTTGGAAGTCAATTTTGCCAGCTGTACCCGTCTCCCTCGGGGAATTAATGGGATTTAGATTTAGATATTTGGATCACAATTTCTCGTCTCTTTGATTTTCTTCTTTCCTACTAACCGAATTTAAATTGTGCACGTAAATGTGTGATTAAAAGGCAATGTCAACACAAGAATATGTAATTAATTGTATACTATCATATATATGCACGCACATATATATATATAGATGTGGTCACATAGTCGGCTCAATTCAAAAATTGATTCAGGAGATCAATTTTGCTGAATAGTTTGTTCGATTAGTTTAATGATCGATAATAGGCCATTCATTGGAGTGATTAAGTTTGAGTTAAAGTTTTCGGATGACATGATAACTATGCTCGAACTGTAAGCATAATCATGAATCTTAAATAAATGATTTGGTGTATATGAAATATTTACTTGACGAAGACGACATCATTATGTTCTTAACGAGCACACAGAACTCCATCGATTCTCTTGATCAAAACTAGTTTTTCCCTCCTAATCGATTCTTTACATAGCATAAAGTTGTTGGGACATACAGCGTGCCCTGATTGGAGGAGAGGTGACTAATTTTTATTGGGGTGACTTTAAATCGATTACATCCATCAAATATCCAGATTAACTGCTCAGATTTATTTGACCATTAAATAAAGGTCTAGCCCAATAGCATAATTAATTGTGAGTCCAAAACTTACGGCCCACATAATCTCACACGAACTAGTATGATGAATTAGGAAGTAGTGATTGGGGTGGTCAAATGGGCCCCTTCAAGGATAGGTACATAACCTTAGAACAGAGGCTTGTAATGAATAT